TGAGCCGAGCCGTACTGAGCCGAGCCGAACTGAGCCGAGCCATACTGAGCCGAGCCGTACTGAGCCGAGCCATACTGAGCCGAGCCGAGCCGAGTCGTACCATGCAGTGGAAAAGCGCTACATGTAAATCTAATCCCGTCCGAATAGGGCTGAACACACATCTACACACATTCACAACCACCTTCACTGTCTTTCCACTCTTCTGTAGGCCTAGTCTTTACCCTCTGTGGATTTTACTGTTCAATCGTCAGTAATCGCTACACCTGTAGATCTGGATCTTCCTGCTTTCATCATGTTTCCAATATTGAATCCATAACACACGAGTAAGAGTGCTGTTATTCTGAATATCAGCACGGCTGTGATTGGGCCGCAGCTGATCACATGACTGATATCCAGCACTACAGACACGCTCACACTGCTGTTATACAACAGATCAGTATATGAGAAGTTAGTACATTTTTTAATACTTAAATATGAAAAAGTATTAATTTAGCCAGACATATATTAGGCAAGATATATATGCAGCATACACAAGACATTAAATAAACTGTAAAATGATTCATGTTTATGGTCTGTTTCATTTTCTGCCGAAGGGACGTTAATATCAAGTCACTTAATTTCAAACACAAATGTCCAGAAATCCCACAGTTATGGAAAACCTGGAAATATCTGGGAATTTGAAAATTGTGATATCCAGGCCTGAAAAAGAAAAAAAAAAATATGGAAGATTGATGATATCCTTTTATAGTGTTAAATTGCACTGGATTAAAACTAATTATGAAAGTTAAAATAAATCATGTTAATCCCACACATTTTAGGAGTCACGTTTTTAGGCTAATTGCCATCTACCCGGTTATTGCCGTGAAATGTGTCTCTTTGCTATTTTTCACATATAATTATATATAGTCACTAGCTAATAATGCTAACAACCTGCTAGCGACATGCTAGTCACTTGCTAATAATGCTAACCACCTGCTAACGACAAGCTAGTCACTTGTTAAACATGTTAGCAACATGTTAGAAACATGCTAACGACATGCTAGTAATTTTGCTAATCATGATAACGACATGCTAGTCATTTACTAGCCTTTTTAGCAACATGCAAGTCACTTGCTAGTCATGCTAGCAACATGCTACTCACTTGCTAATCATGCTTGCAACATG